TCCAAACCAATCTACATATTCAATGCAATCCCTATCAAAATACCAACAGTATTTTTCACAGAACTAGAACAAATGATCCTAAATTTTGCATGGAACTACGAAAGACCCTGAATAGATAAAGCAATCCTGAGAAGGAAGAACAAAGCTGGAAATATCACAGTCCCAGATTTCAAATTATATTACAATGTTATACAAATCAAAACAGCACATTTGTCCAAAAAACACATACAGACGGCCAATACACATTAAAAGATGCTTAACATCACTAGTTACCACAGAAATGGGAATCAAAACAACATGAGGTGTCACCTCACCCAACTCAGAATGGCTAAAATCAAAGTCAAGAAATAACTGTTGAGGAGGATGTAGAGAAAAGGAAACCCCTGTGCACTGTTTGTGGAAATGGAAATTGGTGCAATCATTGTGGAAAACACTAGGAAAGATCTTCAAAAAATTAAAAATAGAAAACACCGTATGATCAAGTAATTCCACTCCTGGGTATATACCCAAAGAATGCAAAAACACTAATTCAAGAAGATATACGCATCCTTATATTTATTTCAAGATTATTCACAAAGCCCAGACATTGAAGCAACCTGTGTCCACTGATGGATGAATAAAAAAGACGTGAAATATACACACAATGGAATATTACTCAGCCATAAAAAAAGAATGAAATCTTCCCATTTACAAAAACATGGATGGACCTAGAGGGTATGATGCTGCATAAGGTAAATCAGAAGGAAAAAGACAAATACCATATGATTTCACGTGTCTATGGACTCTAAAAAACAAAACAAATTCATAAACAAACAAAAAACAGAAAGACACAGATAACAAACTGGTAGTTGCCAGAGGAAAGGGAGTAAGGGATGGAACAGGCAAATTAGGTGAAGGGACTTAAGAGTAACAAACTACCACTTATAAATGTCACAGGGGTACCTGGGTGGCTCAGTGGGTTAAGGGCCAGACTCTTGCATTTTGGCTCAGGTCATGGGTTGTGAAATGGAGCCCTGAACCCCACAAAGGGCTCTATCCTCAGCAGGGAGTCTGCTTAAAGATGTTCTCCCTCTGCCCCTCTCCCTTTTGGTCTCACTCTCTCAAATAAATAAATCTTCAAAAAAATAAATTAAATAAAATAAATGTAGCAGAGGTGAAAGCTATAAAATAGAAAATATAGTCAATAATATTATAATGTTGCACAGTGACAGACAGTAACTTCACATGTGATGAACACTGCATAATTCATTAAGGCATTATGTAGAGAATTCTCCCATTACTAAGTTGTATACCTGAAACTAGTAACATTGTGTGTCAACTACCTCAAACTAAGCAAAACACACACAAAAATTTTTTAATGAAAAAAGAAACCGGGGTGCCTGGGTGGCTCAGTGGGTTAAGCCTCTGCCTTCGGCTCAGGTCATGATCCCAGGGTCCTGGGATCGAGTCCCGCATCAGGCTCTTTGCTTAGCAGGGGGCCTGCTTCCCTCTCTCTCTCTCTCTCTCTCTCTCTGCCTGCCTCTCTGCCTACTTGTGATCTCTGTCAAATAAATAAATAAAATCTTAAAAAAAAGAAACTGAAGATAAAACAAATAAATAGAAACATATATATACTATGATCATAGATTAGAAGAATGAATATTGTTAAAATGTCTATAATACACAAAACAACACCAGGTTTAATGTGATCCCTATGAAAATACCTCTAGTGGGTTTTTTTGTGGTTGTTTTCTGTTAAGCTATATTTTAATTCCAGTATAGTTAACATACAGTGTCATATTACTTACAGGTATACAATATAGTAATTCAAAAATTCCATACATCACCCTGTGCTCATCCAGACAAATGCATTCCTTAATCCCCATTTCACCCATCCCTCCACCCACTCTGGTAACCATCAGTTTGTTCTTTACACTTAAGAGTATGTTTTCTGGTTTCTCTCTCTCTTTTTTTCCTTTGCTCATTTGTTTGGCTTCTTAAATTCCATATATAAGTATATAGCATTAGACTCCCTAGCTCCATCCGTGTCATTGTAAATGGATTCACAGAATTAGAACAAATAAACCTGAAATTTCCTTGGAAACACAAAAGAACCAGAATAGCCAAAGCAGCCTTAAGAACAAATCTGGAGGTACCACAGTATCAGATTTCAAACTATACTTTAAAGCAATAGTAATCAAAGCAGAATGGTACTACTGGCAAAAACACAGGTATGGGAGATCAATAGAACATAACAGCCCATAACAGCCTGGGGTGCCTGGGTGCCTCAGGCAGTTAAGCAGCTGCCTTCCGCTCAGGGTGTGATCCCAGAGTCCTGAGCAAGGAGTCTGCTTCTTCCTCTCCCTTTGTCCCTCTCCCCTGCTCATGCTCTCTTCCGCACACAAACGCATGCTCTTGCTCTCTCAAATAAATAAATAAAATCTTAAAAAATATATATAACATAACAGCCCAGAAATAAAACCAAGCTTATATGGTCAATTAATCTATGACAAAGGAGACAAGAATATACAATGAGGAGAAAAAACCAATCTCTTCAATAAATGGTGCTAAGAAAATGAATAGCTACCTGCAGAAGAATGAAATTGGACCCCTTTCTTGCTCAATACATGAAAATAAACAAAAAATAAATGAAAAACCAAAATGTAAATGGGAAGCCTGGGTGCTTCAGATGGTTAAGCATCTGACTCTTCATCTCAGCTCAGGTCTTGATCTCAGTGTCATGAGTTCGAGCCCCATGTCTGGCTCTAAGCTGGGCATGGAGCCTACTTAAAAAAATAATACTAAAATAAAAGAAACTAATAAAGACCAAAATGTAAGATCTGAAACCATAAAACTCCTAAAAGAAAACACAGAAAATTTACAAACACCAGCCATAACGATATTTGTCTGGATATATCTCCTCAGGTATGGGGAAAAAAAGCAGAAATGATTAAATAGGACTACATCAAACTAAAAAGCTTTTGCACAGCAATGGAAATCATCAAGGAAACAAAAAAGCAACCTCCAAATAGAGAAAATATTTGCAAACCATATCTGATAAGGGGTTAATATTCATAATTTATAATCAATGCATACAACTCAACACCAAAACAAAAATCGAATCAAAAAAGGGCAAAGTACCTAAATAGACCTTTTTCTTAAAAAAAAATTACATATGGCCAATGGACACATGAAAAGATGCTCAACATCACTAAATATCAGAGAAATACAAATCAAAACCATGATATAACCTAACACCAGTAAGAAGGCCCAGGGTGAAAAGAGAAAAAAACAAGTGTTGCACAGAAATGTGTAGAAGAGGGAACACTTCTGCAATATTTGTGGGAACGTAGACTGATGCAGCCCCTATGAGAAACAGTGTTGACATTCCTCAAAAAATTAAGAATACAGGCATCATACAATACAGTAATTCTACTTCTGGGGATTTACCCCAACATGAACAAAAATACTAATATGAAAAAACATATTCACCCTGATACTTATTCCAGCATTATATACAATAGCAAAGGAATGGAATCAATTTATGCGTCCATCCATGGATGACTGGATAAAAAAGATGTGGTATAGATGCACAATAGAATATTTACTCAGCCATACTGAAGAATGAAACCTTACCATTAGTGGTAATGTGGGTGATTCCAGACGGCATTATGCTACGAAAAATATCAGGCAGAGAAACACAAATAGCATATGATTTTGCTAAAAAATGGAATCTAAAAAACAAATCAACAAACAAAACAGAAACAGAATAAAAATTGTAGAGAACAAACGAGGTTGCCCGAAAGGAGGGGTTGGGGGATGGGCAAAATAAATGAAGGGAATTAGGAGGTGCGAAATTGCAGTCCAAAATAAATACGTATCCGCATGAAAAATAAAGCACAGGGAATATAATCAATGATATAATAATAACCTTCTATGGTGACATATGGTGAACTATAATGCCATGGTGAACAATTCCAAATATACATAATTGCCGAATCATTACGCCATACATTTGAAATTACGATATTTTATGTAAAGTACATTTCTTTTAAATTCTTTACGTAAAAAACAAAAGATATACACAGGAAAATTCAAAGAAAATAAAATCGATAAAATAAGACTATAAAATATACAATAATAAAAAAGGAAAAATACAATACATAACGAACGAAAATTAAAAACCAATATGAACAGTAAAATAAAATATGAAATGAAATGATAAAATAAAAAAACACCCAGTTTCCCTCTAGCGCCTGATACTATTAAATTGCACAATTAAAAGAAATAGCACGGTGTCAATCAAGATACATACCACAAGTGGTTTCAAAAATTGATCCTGGAATCAAACCCGAAGATGGTGCCCCACTGCTCCTGAGAACACACCTTGAGAGGCAGATGAAGGATGGGGTCGAGGGCCCTCAGCTAAAGGCTGCGGCCACACAGGTCTCTGCAGGGAGGAAGGAGGTGAGTCACAGCGGCAGCTGCGCAGAGTCCGAAACGTCGCCCGCCAGGGGGATGGGGGCTGCGAAGAAACGCTACGCTTTCCCCATCCCGAGGCAACACCCTGGAACCACAGCTAGCACGAGAGGGGGGCCAGGCGGGAGATCGCGGACACCTCGGCTCACAGAAGCCACAGCGGCGCCACAACGCAAAACTGGGGTACCGAGGGAGACATTTTGGGTGCACCGGCAAAACTCGTCCCCAGGGCAGGGGTCGTCCTGGCAACAAGGAGGGTGGTGTGTGCCAGGGTAAATAACCCGATCGGGCAACAGGTACACGCCCTCGGTTCCGCAGGAGCCCCTCTCCCTGCCGGAGTCCCAGCGACCAAAAAGCCCTGTCCTTGCATAGCCGCGGGCTTGCATCGCCCGCACCCAAGGACCGCGGGCCACCGGCAGCATCTCGCCGAAAGGGGCCGGGCGGCTGGGAGCTGGCGACCGAGCGATGCCTGCCCTCGGCCTCTGGGGAGTGGGGAGAAAGGGTGGACAGAGAGCCCCGTGCTGGCCTTGAAAGGGGCTCCTCTCGTGCTACCCTTGCGGACGCAGGACGCAGGACCCTCCCGCCCAATGCGGTCGCCGCGTCTACTCCACCCAGAGGGCCGGCGGCGGACACCACTTGCGGAGCTCCAGCAGCACGCTCGGCTGCCGCTTCTCCGCGAGTCCCGTGAGTAACCCCTTAGAAGTGTCCCTTCCAGATCCCGGGTGGGCCTCAGCTCCTCAACGCCACTGGGGCTCAGCACAGCCTGCAAACACACTGTTCTCTCCCTTAGAAGCTGACGCCACCCGGTCTTGCACGGCGGCGCGGTTCGGCTGGGGCGGGGGCGGGGGCGGGGCGGTGTGGAGGGCGGGGGAAGACGGGGTGCTGGAGGACACGGTGGGTCCTTGTAAGCCGGCCGAGGGCACTTGGGGGAACTTCAGATGGCCATGGCCTCCTGATGGTGGCTCAGGCACGCGGGTGCGTGAAAGCAGCCCACCCCATGCACTGACCGCACGGCGCACACAAAACAGATACACAGAGAGTGAATTCATCACTTTATTGAAAAGACAACAAGTGCCCCCAGATAGAGGGTCCGTGACTTTGCACTTCTCTCGAATACATTTAGCGGGCATTTAGTGAACTGCTCTTTCGGGTGAGCTCCACAGAACGGGAATCGGCTGCAAATGTTGCCCCGTGGGAAAAAAACGGTCACGGAGGCCATTGCGTGGGAAAAAGAGCTTACAAGAAAACCATGGACGGGGGATACCCGGGAGCGACCACGGGAGGGCAGCCGCAGGGCGGGTAAGGCGGAGGACGCCAGGGCGGAGGAGGCAAGAAGACAACAGGGAAGGGTGGCATGGGCGGCGGGGGGGGGCCCAGCAGCACTGGCTCGCGAAGAACCCACATGTATTCCGGCTCCTGAATGAGGATGGCACGGCAGGGTCCACCCACGTTAACGACGACGGGGGGGGGGCATGGCCACGGGGGGCATGTTTCTGAACCTCAGTGCCCTCTGATGTCTCCTCCACTTGGCCCTCCTATTCTTAAACCAAACCTTCAATCAGAGAGAAAAAGGGATCGTTTTAGTACATTGAGCATTGAACGTCATCCATGAAAAAACACAGCAGGCTACTCTCTCTGCCCTTAAGCTTTGCAACTGCATGGGGGGAAGCTATTTCCTCCTTGCTAAAACAGCTTAGGGAAGGTAGGGCCATGGGCCCCTCCCCTGCAGCTCCCCCGGACAGGGCACCCACCATGTGCCAGGCTCTGGCTCAGCTCCCTGCTTTGACTGGCCTCCCACCTTGCATGTGACTTCTCCCCATTCTCAGCAGCAGGTGCAGCTGAGGAACTGCTCTCCGTCCCTGCTGTGACTTTTACCCCTGGGATGCCTGTGTCCTCCCAGCCGACCGACAGCTGTGCAGTGGCCACTACTCCCTAGTGACTGGGTAGGTGTCACCCTGCTTCTGGGGGAAGCTCAGATGGTTCAAAGGCCCTGCTGAGGGGAACAACCCCCATTTTGAAAAGCCCATCTTCAACACAGACTAAGCAAATAATCCAGAGGAACGTGCTGGGTCTTGCAACAAGAGCTTTCCTTGAAGGATGACAAAAGGGTCATTCCTCTTCTGAAACCTCTTCCCAGTGAAAAAGAGGGCATTGTGAGCAAGGCTTTGGACATGGAGGGCCCAAGAGCCTGTGGCTGGTCTTGCTGGGACAGAAGGAAGCTGGACACTATCTGAATATTATAGATGTTGGGGACAATGCCTGTTTACATGAACTAGGACCAGACTGACGAAATTCTTATACCCTTGCCCAGCCAGCAGCCTGGGGGCAGAGAGGCATGCCGCCCTCACTGTGCCCCATTCGGCCTCATCCAGCCTGCCCCACCCTCCAGGCTTTCCTGGGCTCAGCAGCCTGTCAGCTCCCTCTGCTCTGGCTGCGCTTCCAGCACCCTGGACAGGACCCCTGCTCTCTTGCTCTAGCTCTCTCTCAATCAATCAATTAATCAATCAATCAATAAAATCTTAAAAAAAAAAAAGGAAATTCAAAGCGCTGTAGAGTTTGGAAACAGAGGAGAACATTATGTGTTTTTCCTCACTTGCGTCTTGTGACTCCTTTTCCCTTCAGACCCGACTGAGAGAGCAGGGTGCCAGCCCAAGCTGGGGAACATCAGCTCACCCAAACTTAAGGGTACCTGTTCCTCTGAACTTGCTTTGCCTGCTCCACAGAGCAGAGAGGCCTGGGCCTCTCCAGGTCTGGGCACAGCTGACTGGGAGCCCAGCCCCTGGTCCCGGGGGCCTGCTTTGTAGGCTGCCTGTGTGACCTCCCTACCTCTGGTCCGCAGCCCCTCTCCATCACAGATTACGCTCCGTGCGGGCAGCAAAGCAAATGCACCCACTCTGGCTTTTCTATTCCATTTTCCCCTTCTTACTTCTCTCTTTTCCCCCCAAATTATCCTTTGATTCCACTCGGGTGAGAGATGGCCTCAATCACCCCCTGATCCATGGACCCACAAATTAGCCATCACCCACTGAGCCAATGAAAAAGTCTTTCCAATCAGCACATGCCAGAATCCAGCCTAACTAAGAGCCAGTCCCCACTAGTGACAAATGCCACACAATCCCTTCGTAAAAGGACCACAAAAGGAAGACCAAGATCTCAGGTGTCAGACATTCCTCTCCGGAATGTCCACTAACCTGCTTGGTGGTTTCAGAAATTAGAATGTGAGTCCTATCCCGAAGGCATCATCCTCGCCTGCCGCTTCCCCCTGTGCTCCCATCCCACGGCAGCCACCTGGCTGGACCGGCCTCCACCTTGGCTAGCTTGGTGGGACCTCGCTGGAAAGTGTTGTTTCTGTCTATTTGCTCTGTGAGACCGATTTCAAAGGTGGCACCTCCCCCCTCCCATGTCCACCATAATACACCATCTACTATTTAAGAAGGTTTTCAGGCTGACGGATCTTTCCTCTCTCAGGCTGAAGGAGTTCCAGAAAATGAAGACGTAGGCCCGCCACTCTCCACACCTGTTTGCCAAATACTTAAAAGCAACAGCTCTAAAAATAAATTAATGAAATTTAAGGTTTTTTAAGTAAAACAAAATATTTTCTTCAGTTGAAAAGTGAAATTGCCTTCGTCTGAATCCTAGAGCAAGAAATCGTATTATATTAGGGCGCCTGAGTGGTTCACTGGGTTCAGCGTCTGCCTTCAGCTTGGGTCAAGATCCTAGAGTCCCAGGATCCAGCCCCATGAGGGGCAGCTCCCTGCTCAGCAGGAAGCCTGCTTCTCCCTCTGCCCCTCCAGGCTGGTGGGCTTGGGTTAGCTCGGTGGTGTGCTCACTCCCTCTCTCAAATAAATAAAACCTTTAAACAGCAACAAAAAAGTAATCATATATATTTAAAAAAAAAACAAAACAGCAACAGACCTAGACACTTGCACTAAAAACAGTTAAGAGTAAAAAGAAATGTTTGAACTTTTAAAATTAAAAAAAATTTTTATACTGACAGAATAAAATTGTTTTGGTCTGAATCCTAGAGAAATAAAATCATAATATTAAGAGGGAAAAGCATAGCAGGAGCCCCAGGCAGTTGTACTTGACGCCCTACCCTCCACCTAAGTCTCAGCTTCACTGGACAGAAGGTAGTTGCTTATCTGCTGCGTCCTATGTGTGAAATCTTCCCTCAAGCCTACGCCAAAATATTTGTAAATTCGCTCCTTATGCAACAAGCTTATGCTTGTTTTCAAAAAATTAGTGTAATTCAGCTCCTTAGTGCATTAATTTGAATGATTTCCACTTCAGACTCCCTCCCGACGTGACCCGATGATGAAGAGGGGCCCGCATGATAACCCTCTCAGGAGTGGAGCTGTATGTGAGTAGGTGGGCTTGCGGCTATCCTTTTCTTTCGATGTGTATAAAATGTCTATGTTTCTGGAGCTATTATTATAAAATAACATTCCATATTATATATATAAGCATATATATATTACAAAATAAAACCCATTATAAAATGGGGTACAGATAAATGTATTATATATATAATATCTACAAGTCACATGAGTAATTATACAGGAGTATATATGAATTATATAAATATACCCTTATAGTATAATACTTAAGTAATACATGATGATGCTGTTGTAGAAAACCATTACTACTATATAATGATATTGCTGTATCAACATATGACCATACCAATCAAGAACTAGTATCACTTAATAATAAATATTAATCTGTAATTGACACAATAAAGAACACTCTACTGGCTCTAGTATATGGCAATTATATACTACATAAGACTATAATAATAGTATCATGGATAATACTTATATTAATTGTCTGTGAATTATATAAATATATTTTGTATTAGCTACAAGAATTAGGTCACACTGATATATATGTGTGTATATATATATATATATAGTACTCATCTGTTACTGAAAATACTTAAAAAAATAGACTTCTGATATTCTGCATATTCCTTGTATATACGTTCAACATATCAAATATATGTTCTGTCTTAGGTAAAGATATACGCATCTATTCTATGAATTAATGTACTTCATCCAGTATATAATTGATATGCATACTTACTCCATTCGATGTATTTCTATCTTACATATTGGTATTAGATATAAATATGTAGGTAGGTTTGTATATAGATAACTATTACCTATAAAGATAGTGCGTATACTATATATATGCTCTGTAATTCTGGTTACATTTCTATTTACACTATATTTAAAAATTTATATAAATACGAGTATTCTATGTCTAATTCAGTGACATCTAAAAGTATATATACGTACAGTTTATACAAACATATATGTGTATTTTATACAAGGGATACTCTACTATACTGATTTTTCCATTCCTTTAGGAAATCTCATTCCCTCTGGAAATGGGCAATTTCCCTAGCCTGGGCTTTCTTTCTCCCATTTCCCCCCCCACCCCCACCGAGACCCAGAAGTTCAACACTTATTTCCCAAAACTAGCAAAGGCAACAAGACCCGGGAAGGTGAGAAGGTCTAGGACAGAGGTGTCCAAGTCCTGAAGCCTGTTGTAGAACCGCTCCCAGCCAAATGGTTTTTTTCTGGTTTACTGACCTGTACTCTGGCTTCAGGCACGTTCATGAATCTTGCAAGCTCCTGGCTGAGGGGAGAAAATCCCAAGTACTCAGGATTGGGAGTTGGGGGTGAGTTAAAATAGAGGATTTTTCCTTCCTCTTCCTAAAATTTTTCCTCAGGGAGGCGTCAGTGACATCTGATGGACCAATCTCTACATTAGAAAAAGTCACACCATTTCGGGATTTACAGTGAGATTCAGGTGACCAAGAATGGAAGGAAAGCCAGGGCTCCCGGTTGAAGGAGGCAAAGTCCCCAAGAGCACGGGAAATTCTAATTCAGTTTCTTCTGGTGTTACCAATTACAAAATGAAGAGGATCTCTCTCTACAGACTTTCGATCTTTGCTCTTACCCATTTTATGGATTAATTTAGAGCCCTCTCATAAGGGGCTGTCCCTTCATCTCTCTCTTTCTCTCTCTCTATCCCCGACCACCCCTCCCATTTCTCTCTCTCTCTCTCTCTCTCTCTCTCTCTCAAGTTCGAGTACATTCCCACTGGGTGCTAAGGGATGGCACCAACTGCTGTTCATTCCTTGGTGGTGTTATTTTTTCAAGTTTTGGTCACACTGACGTCCCCCGTCCTCCCCCCCCACCCCCCCCCCACACGGGCGGACGCCACGCCCCCACCACTCTTCTGGACCCTCTAGATTGAACTTTCCCGCAAGCAACATTTTTTTCCCCGCAAGCAACATTTAATTGTACTTTTTTTAACTTCAGATTTTCAGATTTTCATTTTAAATAATCTCTACGACCGGCATGGGGCTGGAATTTGAGACCCCAAAGTCAAGAGTTGCAGGCTCAACCGACTGAGCCAGCCTTTTCTTTTGTTTTTCTTTCGTTTTGCTTTAACTTTTAAGGTTTTTCAAGACCTCTAGCAAAATCTAAGGGAAGGCAGAACATTCAGGAATCCAGATAGTTTCCGACTGTAGTCTTAAAAATGTAAAAATGGGTGCAGGGGCCTCACGGTGGGTGTAGAGATTCCTTAAAATGAACAATTTGTACAAAAGTGATGACGAGCAGGTTTCTGACGACGTTAAAGAGAGGTAGGCTCGTAAGCCCTTCGCTCCCGCGTGTCAGACCTGCGGCCCTCGTCCCCGCCAGCCTGCTTCCAGCAGGACCTTCCTCTACTAAGGGCGGCGGACACTTTGCGGGCCCGGACGCGTTCAAATGGGCGTGAACGTCCGCCTTCAGCCCCCGCCCCCGCCCGCGTGCCCGGCAGCCTGGAGGCCGCTGGCCTTTCCGTCCGCGGCGAGGACCCACACGCTGAGAGTCCGCCCGCGCCCCCCCCCGGGCCGCCCCGCCCCCCTGGCCGCCCGCGCCCCCCCCCCCGGGGCCCGCGCCTCCCGGGGCCCGCGCCCAGGGCCTCAGTCCGCTTACCGCATCAGCGCGTTGGGATACTGGGTGCGCTGGAACAAGCTCTCCAGCTCGCGCAGCTGCAGCCGGCTGAACGGGACGCTATGGGCCGCCCGCTGCCCGGCCGCCGGTGCCCGGCCTGGGGCAGCGGCCTGGGGCGGCGGGCCCTCCGGCAGAGGCGGCCCCTCCGGCAGCGGCGGCCCCTCGGCCCCCTGTGGCCCCTCCGGCTCGGGCTGGCCCTCCTGCCCCTCCTGCTTCTCCGGCTCCGGCTGCCCTGGCGCAGGCGGTGGAAATTCTGCGGCCTCGCGGCCGTCCGCCGGCTTGTCGACGCCGTCGCCATCACTGTCGCCGACGCCATCGCTGTCGCCGACGCCATCGCTGTCGCTGACGCCATCGCTGTCCGCCTCCTCCTGGACTTCAGCGGCTCCAGGGCCCCGCTCAGGTGCGAAGTCGGCCCCCGCTTCCGCCGCCGCTCCCTCTCCGGCGTCTCCGGGAGCCTCGGGGTCTCCGGGCTCTCCGGTTAGTGACATCGCCTCAGGCTGGGTTTCTGCAAAGGACGAGATCCACACAGAAAGATCAGGGCGTCGGAGCCCGGGGCTGTGGGAAGGAGGGGTTGAGGGACAGCCTCTGCGGGGTGACCGGACCGCTCCCCTCGCCCGGGGACCTTGGTCTCTGGGGCTCGACGCCGGCGCCCGTCCCAATGGGCACGGACCTTGCGGCACTTCCCGCTCCTCGTCGACGCCCAGGCTGAGGAAGCCGGTGCCCTCGTCCTGGTCTGGGCCCGGAGGCTCCATATCCCTGTTGCCGTTTGGCACAGATTCCCCGTCAGACCCCGCGGGATCCATGGGGGACGCAGAGAGCGGTGGCCTGCCAACGGGCTTCCGCCAAACGGTCCTGGCGTTGTCAGGTTCCGGGAAGTCTGAGTAGCCGCCCTCCCTATATATACCCCCCACCCCCAGCTGCGGGAGGGGGGGCTCGCCGAGGTGCGCATGCGGCTCGGGCTCGGGCCCCAAGCCTGCCTGTGCACTTGCGAGGGTACTCCCGGAGGGAGCACTTGGCCTAGGGCATCCGAGCCGTCGCGGCCTAGCTAGAGAGGCTGAGTCTTCCAGTCGGCGCTGGGCTCACACGCCCCAGACTGGGGGCCTGTGCCCCCCAGGAAAAGTCGCCGCGCTGGATCGTGCCAGCCCGTGTGGGCAGGGGAAGACGCAGAGCCCACCCTAGCTCTGGAGACCCCGCCGAGGGCTTGGGAGAAGGTCCCTGGCCAGCCCTGCGAATCCAGCAGCCGCCACTAGGCAGGGAATAGTCATCCGAGGACTGTGATGGGCTCTGAGGTGGCACCGTCTGAGGCTTTTCGGGGAGGCGACCCAAGTCAGAGCCCGCCACACCCCCGGGTCCTCGGGAACGGGAGCTGGTGCTGGGGTCTTCTGAGCGTGTCTGGTGCCCAGATGCACCGTGCAGATGAAACCACGCTTGCCCCTTCACAGGGGCCTGGGCCTCCGGGATTTTAGTCCCGAAGCCACACTTCAGGTCGGGGCTGCGAACCTGCACGGGGCTTAGCGCCTTCCAAGTCGGCTCAAACTGGACAGCCCTCCCACGGGTTGGGGTTTTGTTCAGTTTTCCTCGTTCAAACGTTGCTCTTCTCATCGCCACCATGGATGCCAAAACCCCTTCGGGCACAGCGTCTACACCTCCGCCTCCAGACTCTCTCTACAAGCATGCATGTTCCTTATGGTGGGACCCTTTGGATCTGGGTCATTACCCACTTTCTGGCCTTTCCCCCCCCCCCCCCACTCTCCTCCCCTGGGTTTTCCAAGAAATATCTTCCTGAGCCCTTGCTGAGGAATAGATGAATTTTATTTCTTGCTTGTTGTTTTTCTTTTCCGTTCTTGTTTTTGTTTCTTCTAGCGAGGATACATCCTTATTGGTTGGAGAGTTGAGTTGAGCAAGTTTTTGGTTTCTCCAGGTGAGTCCAATAAAGGGACAGGGCCCAGAGGTTTGGGGGATGGAAGGAATCGATGATAGTGACTATACAGTTTGTCCCAATTCAGTAAATGCCAGGTGTCCTGCATTCTTTCAGAAGTGAATTTTACATCCAAAGAAGAAAACCCTAAGCATATACTGAGCTCAGCCTGATGGTAGGCATGATTTTTTTTTTTTTTTCCAAATGAAAGAGAGCAGGCCCGATTGAGGGCTCTGTGGTTTTCCCTTCTGGAACTGTTTTATAGATGCTCCAACACCTGTTACTATCCTAACTATTGGAAATAGCTCCTAGGCCCGGGTCCTGTGCTGGACAATGTCCCTGAAGGACCCCGCGATCACCGCACAGCCGAGCTCACCACTCTAGTTGAAATCCGAAGCTACAGCATTCCCACGGGCTCCCGAGGGCATCGTGGGCCCAAGGTACCTCAGCCACCGCACCTGAGCGGGGAGAAGTGCCCCTGCCTCGTGGTCCTGGAGGATGGCTCAGACACCCACCGCAGGTTTGGGGACCAGTCCCTTTTCACAGGGGTGGTAAGGGATGGAGACTGCACTACCCCCTCCTGACTCGAACCAAATGTCTCCTCCTGGGCTTTGGTCTTGTTGAGTGCCGCCGGCCCCCGACCGGCACCCCCTGGCCAGGTAGCCCGGGCACAATTTTGACCCGAGGCTACTTATTGTGTGAGAGACCTCAAGGGCTTCCGTCCTATGCCTGTTGGCCTCCCTGCGGTCTCCGCGTGCCCTTTCCTGCCTCCGTCTCCGCGGAGCGGTCCTGTCTGCTGCCCTTCAGTCTCTCGTGGGACCCTCGGCCTCTCTCGCCCTACCTGGGCATCAGGTGTGCTAGCATTTACTTACACCGTTTCCTTCCATCACTTCACCCTTGGCACACCTTAGGAAGCAAATGAAACCTCGTCCTTAGCAAAAATAGCCCCGAGTCACGGTTCCTTGGGCCCCGCTCATCGGAGGGGGGCTCTGGAGCCAGAGGGATGCCGGCGGCCTCCGGCTCGCTCATCCCTTGCGAGCTGGCGGGGCTGCGGATCTGCTTGGTCTCACTCTGCCCTGGTTTCCTCGTCTGTAAGAGGAGAGCAACGACCTCGGCAGCGTGCTGCCGGAGTGACTGAGATGACACACAGGAACTGTGGCTGATGGCCCTGCCCTGCCCTCCCCCATCTGGACAGCAGCCCATCTTGTGTTCCTTTACTCACAGGCGCCATGAGAGCAGAGAGCCGCTGGTTCGTCGCCGGCGGTCGGCAACGAGGACAGATCGTGATCTTGTGACCTAAGGTCTCTAGCCTTACCTGTCCGTGGGGCTCTGTTTCGGTTTCTTGTTTTCTTGTTTTATTTTTCTTAAAGAATCTGTCTACCCAGTGTGGGGCTGGGACCCCTGACTCCAAGATCAAGAGCCACGGGCTCCCCCACCTGAGCCAGCCAGGCTTCCCCCACCGTGTCCCTTGGTACCTACACGGGCTTCAGGCAGTAGACCTGTGTTGGCCGCTGTGTTTCCAGGGCCCTCTGCCAGGCAGTGCGGGGAAGGAGTCCGGTCCAGACCCAGCCGTCCTGGCGCCCTGGTTCTCCCAGCCCACGGGAGAGACAGAAGCTGGAAGTGATGGAGTCCCAGCAGCACTAACGCGCTCTGCGACCCAGGTAAATCAGCTGACCTGTCTGGGCCTCCCAGGCCCCCTCTGCGAGATGGGGATCACGATGGCCCCTGCTCTCCCGAGGGGAGCTGTGGCTCTTACTCGAGGTGATGCAAGTAAGGCCTAGGGGGAGGGCTCGGTCCGCTGGAGCCCACGCTGGAGTGAAGGGGCGAGGCCTGAGTGGGGTCAGACTGGACGTGGGCCCTGCCCGTGGTCAAAGGAGCCGGACAGGGCGACTCAGCCCTGCTCCCGAGCGGAGCTTCGGACCTGTGCTTGCTCGTGCTGGTGACCTCCCGGGAGTGCTCCCTGTGCACTGCAGCCTGGCTCGTGGGCCTTACCGCTGTCCCTTGAGGAGGGCTGGGCGCTGGGTGCCGGGGGTGGTAGAAGCATCGCGGGTTTTTCCTTTTCGCCTTAACCAAGGCAGTGCAGGCTGAGAGAGGTTCGGTGACTTTGGCAAGGTGACACAGCTTGGTGGAGGGGGCCCAGGAGCCAAACCTCTGCAGCGACTGGTCCTAGCAGCCCCTGGTCCAAGCCGATTTGGCTTCTGGCGAGTCGTGGGGCTTCCCTTCCACCTCAGAGGCCGTCAGAGTCCGGTCCGTGGCAAGCAGGCTGTGCCTTGAGCTTCGGGACAAGGGGGTAGTGTGAGCAGCCCCAGCAGGGAGGAGAGGAGACGTCCGAACTTGTCTCGGGGCACCCGGACACGGCCGGAGGGCTCTGGAGTGTGAGCTGGAGAGGAAGCTAGGGAGAAGTCTGCAGGGAACTCTGTACTGAGGGGCCAAAAGTTTGCAACGTCAGGTGGGGCCCGAGTTCGAGGAGGGCGTTGGAATGTGTACCTTTGGGATGATGGAAGCTGACAGTGGGTGGTCATGGGGGCGCCCTGATGAAAGCGCGGTTGTAGGATGAGTTTCCGGGGCGGGGGGAGCCTCCGCTGGCCCCGGGTTCCGTTCATTGTAGTTAGTGGGGGTGGGGATCAAGGTCCGGAGCCAGAGCCCTTACTTGGAGGCCACCGGCGTCCACCAGGTACGTCGGGAGTTCCCTGGAATTGGAGTGGAAAATTCCGTGTGTGATGGCATTGCAGTAATGTGTACCTTTCACCAGCTAGAGGGGGGACAGTGCCCCTAACCACCCCTCCCACCTCAGGAAACATCAGAGGAAAGACCAGGGACTTGAGTAGAGTAAGCGGCTGTGGACTTGGGGCACACGCTTCTGGTTTCAGGGCACAGCCTCGTTCGTCTTCTTTCCGGCTCTCTCTCTGCTCACTGCATGGCAGGGGCAAGGCTGACTGTCCCTGTGCCTCCGTTTCCCCAATGGGAAATAGGGCAACGATCCCTGTCACTACCACTGCCACTAGAATAATGACAGTCCTCCCACGGACTTCTTATGAAGTCAGAATGAAGTATGGAAAGATGGCTGCCTTTTCTCTCTCCTTCTTCCCTCTCTCTCTTTCAGCCCTCCCTCTCTCTTTTCCTCCCCCATCACTTTATCTCTTCTTCCTTTCTTTCTTCCTTCCCTCCCTACCTCTCTCCGTCATCTCCCCTTCCTGTTCTCTCCTTCCTCCTTCTCTCCCTCCTCCCTCCCTCTCTGTGCCTTCTCCCTCCCTTTCCCTACCTCCTTCCTTCTTCCGTCTTTCCACTCCCTCCTCTTACTCCATCCCTCTTTGTCTCCTTCTTTCCCTCCCTGCCTTTCCTCCCTCCTCCCTCCCTCCTTCTCGCCCTTCCTTCTGCCTCTTCCCTTCTCTCCCTCCTCCCTCCATTCCTCTGTTTCTTTTTTCTTCCCTATCATGTGTGTTTGTGCACACGTGTATTTAAGTGTGTCAGTCTGTGTCTTTGTACCATGAACAAGCTTCAAAGATATAAGCAAGTCATCGAAAAAAAGATAATACATGATTTGAAATCACATATCATCTAGAACAAGGGAAATGCCATACCTAAGTAACAAAGCAATATGTGGGAGTTCAGTAAAGGTAGAATTTATATTCAGTACAATTCTGGATACATAGTCTAAAGAGGTAGACTTTAAGATTACTCTTGAAGCATGGATAGAAGTTCTTACTGGCCTTCTCAGATAAACTCTTCCTCCTCAATAACAAAAGTAACATATCATGGAGTGCCTGGCTGGCTCAGTCAGTAGAACCTGGGGCTTTTTTTTTTTTTTTTAGGATTTTATTTATTTATTTAGAGAGCAAGAGGAAGAGAGTGAGCACAAGCAGGTGGAGGTGGAGAGGGAGAGGGAGAAGAAGCAGTCTCCTTGCTGAGCAGGATCCCAGGATTCTGGGATCGTGACCTGAGCCAAAGGCAGAGGCTTAACAGACTGAGCCACCCAGGCGCCCCAGAGAGGGAAAGAATCTTAACCAGACTGTGCTCTGAGCAGGGCGCCCCATGGGCAGATCCCACCCTCCCAGATCAGGATCTGAGCCTCAATCAACAATCAGCTGATTAACTGACTTAGCTGCAGGGGTGCCCCATCATAATCTAATTCTAAATAAAAAGTAGTTAAAATAATAATAATAACAATGAAATAAACCTACTAATTATTATCTATTCCCATGTGAAAGGTGCCCTCCCTGTACCAGGAGGTTAAAAAGTCCTGAGGACTCGGGGTGCCTGGGTGGCTCAGGTCATGGTCTTGGGGTCCTGGGATCGAGCCCCAGATCAGGCTCTCTGCTCGTTCCCAGGACCCTGAGATCATGACCTGAGCTGAAGGCAGAGGCTTAATTAACCCTGAGCCACCCAGGTGTCCCTCATCACTTTTTCTACGAGTTTTGTTTTTTTCTTTTAAGATTCCACATGTATATGAGATCTTACAGTATTCGACCAAAGAAAATATTAGCGGAGCCCTCCGTCTACTTTGCAAACATGGTAAGAGTTGTTTTATGAAACCAGTATTGGAAATAGGCAACTAGCATCAGCCTATACCTTAGTTGGCCCGCTTTGTGCTTTGGCTGTATTGATGCAGATTTGACCTCCAGTAGACCTGGGTCTCCCCAAAATGAGCTCCAAGACACTGGCTTCTTTAGCCGACATGCTCATGCAGCAGAAGGAGCAAATGCTAAGATGGGAAGGGGAAATGAGGCGACAGACAGGGAGAGGCTTCTGCCAAGGCTCTCCATTGAGGCTGCCTGGGTCAGCATGAGGCCTGCTGTCTGTTGGGCCACCCTGCACACCAGAACATCCCTGTCACCAAGGTCAGTGGGGACCAGGGTAAAACCTTGTCTGGGGAGAATTCCCTCTTCCCATGCTAACTGTGAGGGATCCCGCCAGTTGTCTCAGTTCGGCCCCCAGTAAGTGGAGCTAACTCCCCATTCCATGGAGCCAGGCAGCCCCCTTTCCACTTGACACCTGGATGAGGTCCTCAGGGACAGCCTGGGCCTGCGTGTGTGTGTGTGTGTGTTTGTGTGTGTGTGCGCGCACACGCTTGTGCGTTGGGAGGGAATGGCCAGGCCCTCCTCGGCACTGCCATTTCACCTTCTCTGCCTTTAGCATTGTGCGGGTGGTTACCGACAAAACAGACCAGAGCTTGTCCTCCTCACTGTCGGGGTCATTGTGCTGCCTTCCCCTGGAGCACACCAGTCCTCCTCCTCCGCGGATTTTCTCTGATTTGTCTCCCCCAGAGGTCGAAGCTCCTGCATTTCCGGGCAGTGTCCTTGCTGGGTAGTCTACCCGGAGAGAAGCGGCCAAGGGCCAAGCCCAGTGCGTCTGGTAGTTTGAAGCACCTGTTCAGGAGGACAGCCGCCTCCTTCCTGGGAGGGACAGGAATGTCAACCTCCCTGCCTTTAGTCACTTCAAGTGACACTAGCCAGCTTGGCCCAAGGGCTGAGGACTCCATGGCCTTCTGGGACGAGGTTAGAATGATGTCTTCCCCAGCAGATTCCAGCGTGCCAGCAGCAGAGGCAAGCCTGCTGTTTACTGAGGTGACGGCTCCAGGCGCGCTTGGGTTCTGGCCTCAGCCGCCATCTCTGCCTTCGTGGCTCCTTTACCTGCCACGGGGGCCCACAGGGAAAAGGACGTGTTCTCGACTCAAAGTACTATAGTGGAGGAAAAAGAACTTTCCCTTCACCCTTCTAGGTTAGGCTGTGCAGGGGAGCAATATTTGCCCCCTTCCATGTGTCTCCTTGGTACGTAGATTCGTTTTGGTAATTTTTTTAAAAATGTTATTTATTGGGACGCCTGGGTGGCTCAGTCATTAAGTGTCTGCCTTCAGCTCAGGTCATGATCCCAGGGTCCTGGGATCAAGCCCCGCATCAGTCTCCCTGCTCAGCGGGGGGGGCTGCTTCTCTCTCTCCTGCTCCCACTGCTTGTGTTCCCTCCCTGTGTGTGTGTGTGTGTGTGTGTGTGTGTGTGTGTGTGTCAAATAAATAAAATCTTTAAAAAAAGATTTTATTTGTTTATTTGAGAGGGAGAGAGAGAGCACAAGCAGGGAGCTGGGGGGCAGAGGGAGAGGGAGAAGCAGGCTCCTGGCTGAGCAAGGAATGGGACATGGGGCTCTTTCCCAGGACCCTGAGATCATGACTCCAGCCAAAGGCAGCCTTAACCAACTGAGCCACCTAGGCGCCCCTTGGTAATTATTTTTAAGAAATAGAAAACTCGGATTTTTTTTGGCCTCCCCTCTCATTGCCCAAAGGAATTTATTTTATTTTT